TAAAAAAACCCCCCCCCCCTTAAAAAAAACTTTCGAACTCACACTAAACCACCAATGACCTTTTGAAATTGCAGAAAAGGCCCAGTAACTTTCCGAGTTTAGATAACCCCCATAGCCTAGGTTTAGTGTAATTTACCCAACATAATAAACAACATTTTGAAAGTTATTGGGATCTAGTGTAATTTACCCAAAATATTTTGGGGGTTTTTCTGCAAAAGTTATTGGGGTATTTTGAAAGTTCATGGGTGTTTTACTGCAAAACAGTAAAAGTTCATGGGGTTTAGTGTAACTTACCCTAATAAAAGCATGGTATATTATCAATTAAAAGAGATTGTGTATCTAGAAAGAAACTATTCTTTTAGGTGTCGTTTGGCAACGGGTTAAGAAGCTTAACCCCTTCTTAAACCGCCAAACACAAAAAAAATCTATGCAATAGTTAAAGTGAATTAATCCTTCATAATTTGTCAAACATAAAAAAAATGCATAAAGGTTAAGCTAACCCCTCTAGAGAGATTTAAATGAGTTAACCCTTTAAAATGAGGAGTTTACCAATACAGAATTGAGAGTAAACCTATCTATTTATAAAGAAAATAGTTAAAAATCCTCATTATTCCCAAATACTAACACTAATCACAAGGACTAAAATAAACATTGTTTAGCAGGTTAATAATTTAGTCCTTTGAGTTATCAAATGGGCTAACTAATTGCCAAACAGGTCTTATGTAGTAACAGAAAAAGCTACATTCTACTAAGCATAGTGGGGAAATTCTATATTGTCTTAGAACCAGAAAAAGAACTGAAAATTCAGATAGAAGACACATAGTCCCACCGTGACGTAATGGGGTTTTAAATCCAAAACTTTAAAAAAAGATCATACTCTAATATCATATCAAGAATTGTCTCACCAAAAACACTCGCATGCTGTTTTACAACGAACAGCAATGTTTGAACCCTTCATCATAGATAATGATCATACAGGAGCTAGCGTTCAAAAGACTAGCACAAAGAACTTTTAATTCCCTGTATCCAAATCAATATCCGAAAGAGCATACTCACAAAACTTTCATCCCAATGTATTCGAATTAATATCAGAAACTATTTTGCCTACCCTTTTCTCACTTGTGTGCTATGCAATTATCTGACAATTTTTTTTTGATAAAAAATTTCCAAACAGTGGAAACCATCACTAAGTATGTCCACTATTCTTCCACAGAATAAGATCTTCTAACTCGAAACAAGGCCTGAAACAACGAAACAAGCGCTAATAAACCAATCTCGTTATGTTCTGAGGTGTACTCAATGAAACTTTCCCATGGCGGCTTACACGGAAGTCAGATTCCACATTGCCACTGAAAACCACTTCCTTTTCAAAGGAAAGCAACAATGCAGCGAATTTGACCTTATCGTCCCTCACTGGATAGCCTCTACCCTTCAGTATTGCCTCCATGCTTCCTCCATTAGCAACTTGGCCATTAGCCATCAATCTTCCAGCATTTACCATTATTTTGAAACCTTTTTCCAATTGAAACAGAGTCCTCAACCTTTGCCCCTACAAATAATGATTTCCCGAAGGAAGTCAGTGTAATTCCACTTCCTGTTGTGTTGCAACCCGAATTCTTGAATTTTGCATCCCCATGAACAGTACAAACCAGGTTTTTCTCTGCACCTTGGATGTCAATTCCAGTGAGCACTGATCTGCCCTTTTCATCAGAATACTTTGCTGCGCTTTCTGATCGAATGTTGAAATATTCCTTCTCTTTACTCATTTGTCCAATAAATGAAGCTTTAAGACTTGACTTTAGGTCTTGTGAGGTCTCAAGACTGATTCCATCGAATCCAACATCATGATCCCAGCCTTGAGAATTGAGAACTGGCCTCACAAGCCATTGATCACTAGTATTCATCAAGCATCGGTATCTGTAACTTGGGCAATCAGGGTTAAAATTTAAAGGGACGGCAATATCTGGCAACTGTACTAACTCTTGTGAATTGTCCTCTTCATAGTCATCATAATTTTTCTCTTTTCGTCTTCTAAGCTCATCATTCCATTGTTTCTTCAGATGTAGTGTCTCACGGTACTCAAGTTCATCAAGATAAATTTTTCTCTGCTCTTTGGATAGTTTTCGGTATTGGGCTTTTGTTAGAATCCTAATCGGTGGCAACTGATCATATTCGTCATCCTCAATATCATCAAAAGGCTCATTGGATTCCTCTTCCATATAATCTCTTGGATGAAGAAGTGATGAGAGGAGATGAGGAAGTGAAGGAAGTCTAGTTCTGGCTTTTGTCACCCGGAAATTATCCTGAAATCCAAGTATTTTGTTTGCATCCCCCAATACTTTGGTAGCTGCACATAATAGTAGCAACTGAGACATCCAATCTTGGCCATTGGGGAGAATTTTCTCACCTTTAGCATTTTTCCTGCACATAGGATGGTTCTCTACCAAAAACACCGGATTCTGAAGCTGAGTGCTTTGTATTGCTTGATGTATGTGATGCTGCAATACGTTCGTGCAATGGTCAACATATGAATCGTAACTTACAGTATAACCATCAGGTCCTTCTGGAGGACATGATGAACTATGGGTCATACCAATTATGGCATTGCACCAAATCGAAGAACTGAAGACATCGGTAATAAGCTCCAGGAGTCGGTAGTCACTGTATCCACGGTTAATAGTATCTAAACGATCTAAATAGAGTACAGCATCGGGGGGTGATCTTCTGATGAAATTTTTCACTTGAAACAAGATCTTTCTATTTCTTTGTTGGCTATGATGGGAAGGAGAAAGGCCTGGAGTATCAATTACCGTAACCCTGATTCCTTTAATAGTTCCAGTAATCTCTTGAATCTTGTTTGTTGCAGGTTGGAATGCATCAGTGAGAACCTTCAGTTGATCAAAAATGGAGTTTATGGTTGCACTCTTGCCAACACCAGTCTTTCCTATGATGAGAATTTTGAAGGAGAGAGCAAGATTAGAATGACCCGATGCCTCGAGCTTAGAGGCTATACTTTGAACTTTATCTAGTTTGAGTGCAGGTCTTTTAACTTGGACTTCACCGGCTCGTATCAAGCTTGCCAATTGAAGTCGGTATAGGACCTGGGACACTATAGGGTTAGCAGGAGATTGCCCAATCCTTTGAATTAGACGCATGAAATTGATTTGGAGTGCCTCGACTCGAGTTAATAAATCTGAGTTTTTGTCAATTGTGTTGTATTGAGCAAGATCAGAGTTTTCAGCTGCAATAGGCTCTGAATGAACTGGAAGTATTTCCCCTTGGGTATCATTAGAATTAGTACGTGTTGATATTACTGACATGCTTGTTACTGTTGTATCTGAAACAAAGTTATAAATCTAAAAAAATTAGCAATAATGGCAAAGTGTTATAAGTGGAAATTGTATTATCCACAAAGTAGTAAGGTAGTAAAAATTTCGTCAGATAAGCAGCTTTCTTCTCTGGTTTTCCTATTCCTCCTGGATTTATGGTCAATTTATTTGGAAGCAACTCTGAGAAGTTAAACTTGACCTATAGAGCTCTCGGAAATTACAACAAAACCAAGTAAATGTTTGAATAACCAAATTAATGTTTGCATAACAAAATTATCTGACATTTATGTACCTCCAATGTTAATGTACTCCACGATTTGTCTTTCTTTTTTCAAGTTTCAACAGCTTAAATGTAAAAGTTCCAACATGATTAAAAGGTTGTTTCAAAGTTGAGATTTGTGTTGCTGCTTCATGCACAGAAACAAGTAACATAGTGCTATCCCAAATCTTTAGAAAAAGAATTCTGTGCAATCTTTCTGGACACTGAAAAGTTAATTGCAAAGATATGTTCTGATTAAGTGGCAAGTTACAAGTCAACCACCTTAGCTCCTGTCTCTATTTAATACTTGCAGGATTTTTCTAAAAAAATGCATACCAAAGTGTGGGAGCTGAGTAATGATAGTAATAGCTATAGAATAATATAGAGTTTGTTATAAAAAGCAGAAGGTATATGAAATTAGTTTTAGTAAATTAAAAATCCTAAAAACATAAAATATTTGGCTCAGTATCAAAAGGAGAAGTAATTTAATGTGCAAAGAAATAAGGCCACACCTTGATTGCGGAGCTCACCATCAAGTGATTCGTCATAAAAGAAACTGAAAGGCCTTGCAGAGAGTAATGATTTAGATAACATCTCGTAAGAAAACCATTCTTTAAAATTCTTCATCTTCTATTAATCTGGAAAAATAAAGCAAAGAACAAAGAAATGTCCATCAGATGCAAACATGCAGCAAAATATTTACTCAAATAAGCTTCTGTTCTAGCATGCTACAAAGTATAGAAATAGCTACATATTGATACATATATAAGGAGGTACCTTTTAAGAAAAGTTTGGCACGAACATACCATCAAGTTGAGCAATATAAATTGCAAGAATAAAGTTTCTCCTTCACCAAATAAAGCTTTGTTATTAATGATAAGAATATATGACGACAAATACTAAGAGCACTCTACTCAATTTTCAGCACTTATGCCGGATGATATGATGGTAGTTCACTTGATTTGGCCCTTCAAGAGCTAAATGAAGCAAGAGGCTTATGTGTACCCAAACCATATGCTTGCATTAAATTCCATTGTTTAGTCACTGTGATTAGGTGTCAAATTGAAATAGTTCAGAAAAAGGGGCATGCCCAAGTTTTCATTCTCTTGATCAAAAGTGTTCAATGGAGAAATACACGAGGCTGAACCCAGTTATAATCACAATGCTTGATAGTCACATATGTGCTAATAATGATACTAAATTACAGCCTTGACATATTGTAATTTGTAACTATAATAAATCTCTCACCAATTCAAAGCCAATTTCTCTACTGTCAAACTTGTGAATCCAAAAGAAAATACCCAAATAACACTAACTAAAGTTTCTTCACAAATAATGTAACACAATGAAAAATCAGTGAAAGTTCTAGCATCAATAAGCCCCATTCTCGGCTCTACAGATGATTGCTAATTTGGACATCAAAAAGCAAATGGGTGATTTGAAAATACCAAATTAAACCATTCAAAGTGTATCATATTCAATAGAATTTTTGATATACATACAATAAAAACAAAAGGACATTTTTTGATGAAAGGGTTCAGCAAAATACCAAATTAGAAGAAGACCCAATTGAATTCAGTACATCTAGATGACAGATAGTTTTGATCCTGCTTGGTCTGTGGCTTTGGGCTTCCTTCGTTCAATTAAGAGAGTCGTTATTTATCGGGGGAAAAGAAAGAGAAAAAAAATAAATTAAACTTGAGAGAGAGAGACAGAGAGAGTTATTTATCGGGGGAAAAGAAAGAGAAAAAAAATAAATTAAACTTGAGAGAGAGAGGGTACAACTATTCACACTCCCAAACAGTAACTTTAGGGGGTGTGAGGACTAAATTGCCATTCTCCCAAACCAAAACAGGCCAAGTCCATTCAAGAAACACCCTCAACATCAAAAGGGTATTTTCGGCAATCCAACTCCAAAAATTACTGTTTGGGAGTGGATATAGCAAACATGAGAGGGAGAGAGAGAGAGGAGATTCAGTGAAATTATCAACAAAAAAGTTTAACAACATATCTAACAATAAATAATAAATAAACTGAACGCTTACGTTGTATCTTAAGGGCATGCCCACCTAGGGTTGGGTGCGGGCCGGGTCAACTCGCGAGCTGACCTTTCTTGCTGGACATGGGTCACAACCCGGTCCGACCCGTAGTGGGCCGGGTCCGACACGGCCCATATTCTATATACGCGGGTCACGGACAGGGTTAGGTCCAGCTTCAGATCCGGGACGAGAGAAATCGGCCCGACCCACCTTGACATGGCCCACAATCGACTCGGCCCAACCCACAACTACCCTATTCTATATACGGTGGCTAGAGATATATTAACTTCCTCTGCTTCCACAGTTGCATCAAAAAGATACCTTTTCAGCAAGCGGAAGAGTCGTTTCCGAATAGAAAACACAACTTACAACTGCACACGTGGAGATGTGTGTGTTTAAAGGACTAGCTCGATGCAGAAAAATGGTCACAAGGACGACAAATAAGGCCTTTCCTTAAAGAACATAACGAAAACAACTTGGAGGAATTCGGCTCCTTAAATGTTAATGGTTAACATTTTTTTCCCTCTTATATTTGTAATTTAAATTTAAACTAAAGGAAAGTTATTAACTCCCGGTGGATGTAGGTCTTCCATCGAAGTCCGAACCGCATATATCTTTGTGTTTGTAATGTCTTATCTTGGTACATTGTGTGTCACTGTGCGTGTATATTATTTTAAATAAAGAGTAAAATTGAAAAAATAATTTAAATATAATTTAATTGATACAAATATAAAGTTGATATAGTTTATAAATTAAAAATAAAAAAAAGTTAAAAAAACCACAGGTTGACCCACGGCTCCTGAGTTGTGGGCCGGGCTCGACCCCGCCCGCACTAGGTGGGTCATGGGCCTGGTCGGGTCCAATCCCAGACTCAGGATCAGAAAATAGACCCGACTCACTCTGACCTAGGCGGGCAGGGTCACGGGCCTAGACCGGCCCGGCCCATGCCCACCCCTACGCACACCCGCAAATAATAAAAAGAAAAGGTGAAGATAAGGACATTTTTATGAAAAACTTATAAAAATACACTGTTAAACAAACAAAAAAAAGGGCGGGGGGTTAATATGATTCAGTCATTTAATAATGTTTATACATCCATTTTCAACTTCATATTTCACTCCAGACAGATAATGCACTTCTGGAAGGATATTTGATGTAAGCGGATCCTACTAGGTACTACCCGAACCCGACTAGGACGTGCCAGCCCTACTTTCGTCTGGTCTCACTGCCACTCTTCCGAGCTCTAAATCAGCGAGCCTCTTCCGTCTCGAATACGCCCAAAATTCTAGTAATGGAAACCCTAGCCCGCGCGAGATCCGCCATGGCGGACCTCGCCGGATCTCTCCTCGGAGAACATCCTCGAGCGCCTTCCTCTCTCCGGCTACGTCCGCTTCTGGTGGCCGGTGGATACCGTCCAAACGCCACGACGCCCGCCGCACTTCCAGGTCCCCTCCTCCGATGCTCGATCGTGCTCGTCTCCGTAGGATCCCGTTACCAAGAAATCCTCTCTTGCTACCAAGAAATCGTCTCTTGCTACAGCCCCTTCGAGGACAAAATCTTCACATTTCCCGTCCCCTTCGAGGACCGATCCTTCGGCGTCCCGGTCCCCTTCTGCGCCCTCTTTTTTCGTGGATGGTTGCTGAGCTTCGATTCCGTAAACCTCGTTCTGTGGAATCCAGTCTCCGGCGACAAGATCGAGCTCCCCCAGCTGATCCATGGGCGGGATGCGCCCCGTTTCAGAGACGGCGTCGTCGCAATCTCACCTCCGCCCCATTACTTAGTTTCCATCGCCCTCTACCCCACCGTCTTCTTGCTTCGCTGGTTCGACTCGGATTGGGTCGAACTGAATCTCCCCGAGGTAGCAGCCAGACGCGTGTCTGAAGCGGCGGTGTCCATCAGTGGCAAGCATTACCATACTCTCTCAGCGTTAGAGCTGTATCCATGGGTCGGTTCTCAGGATTTATTAGTGGTTGATGCTCTCGCTACGCCTCCTACTTTTCAATTCTTTGAGATGGAGCTCTTGAGACGGACGGCGGTAAAAACCCTGCACGGCATTACTCATTTGGTGGAGTTTGGTGAGGAGCCGTTACTTGTTAAGGAGATCCTCGGATACGGAACTATTCCTGTTGGGTTTGAAGTGTATAGAGCGGATCTCGACAGGAAGATGTGGGTGAAGGTGGAGAGCGTTGGTGATAACAGAGTGATCGTGATTCATTGGGTTCAGTCCGTTTCACTGCTAGCAGCTGATATTGGAGCTAGAGGGAACTGTATTTATTTCGCGACAGGGGAAAACAGTGGGCAAGGACCATGGAAGGTGTTTGATTTAGGTACCAGGAAGATGACGGATTTGCAGCTTCCAAGTGCTACGCAGTTTCGGAATCTTGCTCAGCTGTTATTTGTGCCCAGCTTATGTTAGTCCTCGGATTCAAGGTTTGCGTTCTTCTAATTGGTTAAAGTTTCAGTTTTTTTAAGTTCTCGTTTGGAAAGCTTGTTAGGTAATTCACCCTAGTTTACATATTTGACGGCGATTATATCACGACATTTTACATATAAATGTTGTTAGTTTCATAGTGGTTCTGGTTTAATTAGGTTAGTTTTGCTATAATTTCATGTTTGATTGCTCTTCTGTCGTTTGCTGAGCCAGTTGGTGTGCAGGTATGTATTTGCCACAAAGGGAATGGTTAGAAAATAGAATCAGTAAGATTGTGGTTCAAGTATTTTGTCATGCTTTTCTGGATTGAATTTTTCATGCTTATACTTTTTTTTAAAACTATCACATATGTGGTGTCTTATCATGTTCATTTTTTAGATACTTCTTTGAATCACTTTTGTTTGATACCCAAATGATTTTCTAGCTTGAGCACATGAAATCTTCTGATGGTGTGTTGAGCAGCACAAACACGCTAGTTTAATTCGACTACAGGTGTACTGAAGTTTAATTTCAGGCATGAAGATTTAGCACATTCTTCAAATGTAAATGATATTATGTCCATTTACTTAGAATGTTGTTTGATGACATCCAATGTGCTATCTACTATCTTCCTTAAAAGGTCCGAATCATTCTTGCAAATAACCTTAAACCATCAAATATAGTGATTAGGCATAATTGGCTGATTTTGTGTCATAGTGGTAAGGCATCTTTAAGGTCACGAAAGAGATCTAGGTTCAACAAAATAATTTGATTGATAGATTTGATATTGAGCTTCCTTTAGAAAAAAGAAGTAAGGGACAAGTTGAGATCGAGCGACTTTATTCCCAGAACATAGGTAGACCAAGACACATGTCAGGTTGAAAGTCAACATGAAACCAACATATATCTAGTTGAAACAAATTAAATCAAGTTTTTCATATAGGAGGCAAAGCTTATATCTTTTGTCTCTTCCCTCCTTATGCGGAAGGAAGTTTCTCATCACATTGCAAGTTCCTCACATTTGTCCATCAAGCATCCTCCATGCATCTATGTCGATATCTGACAGGGGATGCCACTAGAATTTTGATGTATAATGGCTTTTTTGCGTGTTAATGTGCAGTAGCTTTTGTGCAATCCTAGAGGAAAGTTAGGTGTACATAATGATAAATGTATAAGTTGGTCTTGGACACAGATAATGACACAGGTATTGTGCAATGTGCATGCGCATATTCATGCTAACAGCAATACATTTCTTTTGTGGTCCATTGCATCATAATTTTGTACAAATATAAACAAAATGATCCTAACATAGATTTGACATTTATTTATAAGTGAGTGACATCTCACTTGAGTCTTTGGCTTTATGTGCCAATTCTTACCATGATAGGACTTATGATAGCACGTAACACTTATCCTTGATCCTTAAAGCGAATAATGCACGATATTACTTCTTACTCCTTAACTTTTATGAATGCCTAACTTTTAGTTCCGAAATAGCTCGTGCCAATACATGTCTCTTCATTGGTGGCTGTGTGTAGTTCTCATTGATAAGAGTCCAGGATTTATATGCATAATAGCATCCACAAATCTAGGTCAATGATATGTGTATAAAAAGAGCTGGATCAGGGAGAATAGATCCTAGGCATACTAGGGACACCTACTATTTTAGAAGAGTCAATTTTTGAGTGCTACAGTGTGCTACATGCTTTGGTTGTTATGGAAAGCAATGACAAGAAGGTGTTCACAGATGTGACATAATGACCTGAGAAGAGCTTGAAAAAGTTAAATATAAACCAGTAGCACTTAATTGGATTCCTTTTCTTTTTGCTAAGGAAAATACAATACCCTGTTATATTGACCTGCGAACATCCACAAATAGGGTTTGGAGAAAAATAAATTTTGACGACATTTCAGTTTAGTGATGGATGCAGGGCATACACGTTGGTTCCAGATCGTGGGGTATGATTTTTATCAGCGATAAGTGTAACTTTAAGTCTTTGATTGGGTGTGCTGTTACATTGGCAAAGTTAATGGTCACATGGGAGAGACTAGAGTGGGTTATGAGGTTCTTTATGCCAATAAGATGGCGACTCACTGATGATTAATAATGCAGTAGACTGCCCATTGTATCAGCAAGTTTAGATTTGTAGTTGTAAGGATGGCTATTATGCAATGGAGACCATTAAATGCATCAACTAGGAGTAATTATAAGATCATAATTAATGCAGAAAGGAGGATTAGAAGCAGACATATGAGACGTGGTTAAAGTTGTTTAGAAGGATACAATAGTGATTAACTTAGTGGAGGAGAGAGCACGTGATAGAGCCTAGTGGAAAACTAGGATTCATGTCCCAACCTCAGAAATTTGGGCTACAAGCTTTGTTGCTGTTGTATTGCCTTCTGATCACAGGCTCCTTATTGAGCTGGACAAAGATTATAGAGCTTATGGAGTGATGTGATTTGCCATTGTTATCGATGAGCGTGCATACGGACGTATATTCTAGAAAGGTGTTTTCTCCCAGGAATTCTATCAGGAATAAAAATGGCTTGAAAAAGATAATGTGTAACAATATCTCAGATTTTATTCTTTCCACACCCTGAACTCAACTTGGTTGCTTCTGTGCCCAAGTCAAATATTAATGTCTCAGATTTTATTCTTTCCACACCCTGAACTCAACTTGGTTGCTTCTGTGCCCAAGTCAAATATTAATAAAACCATGTGCCTTTCTTGCAAGATCTTGGATTTTGTTCAGGTGCCATTTAATAAGAGAAGCTTGAAGGCATCCCTTTGCATTACCCAAATGGAATCTGGGAGCTATGTTTTAATTACCTTTAAATAGTGGCTCTTTGAGGGTGTTTGTCTTACAAATGTTCAGTTCCATGTCTTATTTCCAGTTATAATTTTTTCTAGTGTAGTGATACTCTTAGTTTCTGCTCATGATTTAATGCATAGTATCTGGCAACCAATAAATGCAAATGCATTAGTGTCGATCACATAACAAGAAATGATTAGTTCTTCGAGCCAATTTAATTTTCTCTGTTATTCCTTGATTACCAAAACTTTGTTATTGTTTTGTCTTATCTGATCTCAAGTCTTTCTTTTCAGGCCTTTCCCGGGATTCATAAATGTTGATCTCAACGGTAGGGTTTCGTGCTGGGGTTTGAATATCTGTGGAGCATTTATTGTGAGAAAACTGTGCTTTCGCTTCTCCACTATGAGAGTGGAGGAGCACAACTAATGGTATCGAGTGTAAATCTAACTCTATGTTTGTGGCTTGAGAACAACTTGTTCTTTCTATAGCCTTTGATACATACTAGTGATATTAGCATCCTATCCTTTTCTTCTTCATGTTAACAATTCTATAGCCTTTACACGGGTAATATATCCTTGTGATGTTTAATCCGAAGTTTTTCTCTGGTCAGTGAATATGAACAACCGCTATTATTTTACTGCTTGTTCTTTGTAGCCCAAATACTTCTATGGTAAAATTCTCACCATAATTTTACAGTAAATATCCGATTACCTCATTGTTTCTCTATTCCACTAAGCTACAATATAGCTTCATTGCCTGGTTCACATTCAAACAAATTAAAACCTGTTTTTTCACTCCTAATTGAGGAGTGAAAAAGACAAGGAAGCCCATATAGTTAATTTTCTTTAATGTTGACAGCAACCTCAACCACCCTCATAATAGATTTCATGTTTATCCCTCAAACTTATACTTCTTGCATAGTTCTATTAATGTGTATGATTACAATGAAATGTTTTGAAACCATCTTTTTAGTGTGAGATTTATGATGCGGCATACGAGATTTAATTATATTTGCGATGGAGACACCACTAATATAATACTATTAGTCTACTTCTCATAATACATTTACTAAATCCCTTTTGTTACTTGGTGTGAATGGAGCCATTGAACCATGTGAATTTATGCAGCTCCTTATTGTCATACTTTTTAATATTTCTGTAATGTACTTGTGTATTTATAAGCTTTAAGTTTATTTCAGCATTAGCTAATTTTTTAAGTAGCATTTTCGCTTATTATATCAATTTTCTTTTTAACAGAGGTCATAATTGTTGTGCTTCATTCAAGTTGATCACCAATATCACTGTAGGGTATCAATTCTATTGTTGGTCCTAAAACTGCTAGGAATGTTGTTGTCTGACCCGAGCTTGATTTTTGTTTCTTTTACTAATTGTTTGTGGCTTTTTAGTAAACATGACACATGTTTATTATGTTTTTGTTCAAATGTCACCAATACAGCTGTAGTGCATCAAATCGGTTTACACTTACATCAGTTCTCTTCATTTTTGTTCTGATACTGCAGAGTTTCCGTTGTTGAAGCAAAGAAATAACTAATAATTTGTGATATTTCGGGTGATGTTGTTAGGGGGTTTTGTGATAAAACCTTAAAGTTCAAGGGGGTTTTCTGATAACCCCTAAACTTAAGGGTTTTTTTTGATATTTTGAAAGTTAAGGGGAGTTTTCTGATAATCTCCCAAAGTTATGGGGGGTTTCTGATATGAAGCCTATTTATTGGATACCAAAGTGTAATAGATATATAACTTTCTTTGGGGTGCATTCTAACGATGCAACTGTTCTGTATAAATATTTTTTTTTTCCTTCTTAAATGCAAACAATCTTATCTATATATCTGCTTTAAATTGATTTTGATCCTCTTAATGTTTAGTCATAAGTTTTTTTCTGGGTAGTGGATATCAGTTGCATGTCTCAAATGAGAGAAACTGATAATATAAGATACAATTGTCTAAGTAAATAAAATATCCGAATCATAATTCACCAAATTCTTTCACCATAAGAGCATCTCCAACCACAAAACTCAAATTGGTGTAGTTTTTACACCAAATCACTATTCTATTTTCAACTCATTACACCAAATTTTACACCAAAAAAAATATTCATTTTATTATTTTTATCTTTTAACATTTTATCTATTTAAAATATTTATTATTATAGAAAATAATAATACAACATAAATTATTGTGTAATAAAAGAGATATTTTATAAATTATGTGCTAAGTTATGTTGTATTATTATTTTTATCTAAATAATTAAAAAATTTAAAAGACTAAAAATAAAAAAGCAAAATTTTTTTTGAAGATGCTACCAGAATCCTCAATACCACATTTGCCCTAGGCCTCACCCTCAAGCCACCATTTTGATTGCTAGAACCCCCACTGTCTCCATCGTCAATTGCCTACCGGAGCAGTTTACCGATGAGCTCCATGGCTGCAGCAATCGTCGCCGCCGCTCCTCGATCGAGGCAGGCTCGGCGATCCAGACATCGTACGACGTCGCTGCTGGTGGCGGGAAGCGAGGACGCGGCGCGGTTGCTGTCTCCTCCACCGTCGTCGTCGGAGCACGACGTCGACGAGCATGAGGACAATATCGATCGAGGGACTCGTAGAACTGCTCGTCGTCGTCGTGTTGGGGCTGCGCCAAAGCTACAGTGTTGCGCCAAATCTGGCGCAGCACTGTAGCACATCATCAAAATAGCGCTCAAGATAGCGCTTGGTTGGAGAGGCGTTTGGTGTTGGGTTTGCGTCATTTTAGGGATTTAGCGCAGGGTTGGAGATGCTCTAACAACAAACTATGAGTTACGCAAATTGGTTTCAGATCCACAATTTTAAGATCAAAAGAATTTGATGTAGTCATAGATATACAAGTATCTGCATCTGGATTCCTATATTTTTTATCTATATCCATGTTTTTTATCCTATGAAAGATTAGATGGTATTTGTATCCATAACCATATGTATATGAAATATATTTGTGGATGTGGCTATTTAAATATCTATAACTAATCAGATATTGATTCAAATGTATACTCGATTTCCAAATGCTCATAATCAATTTCTCCAGGATACGAGATCTGAGTTCAAGAAACAACTTTTAGCTAAAGGCAAAAATAAAATTATATTCGGTGGATTTGTGTAATAATTGGGATTAGCTTCAACCTGTAGCGGAGAAGATCCAGACCCATGAGAAGCCTTCACTTTGGCTCAGGTGTATAATGCGTTTTAATACCTCAATTACAAACAAACACAAATACACTCCTTCTCATTATTCTCCAACCAAATGAAGAAAATCGCCTCCAGCATAGAGAAAAATTGAAAAACAAAAAGAATTTTTTTTTTATTGCAAACAAGGAAGTTAAGCTGAGGAGTTAACTAACGGTTTTTCAAAAGATTTTAGAGGACAAATTGATAAATTTGAAACTTTGAAGATTTCACGTGCAGTTTGAAAATAAGATGGTTTTGCGGGTTTTATAGGAAACACTACAAAGTATTGGGGATTTGTAGACTAAGTTTAACAAATAATACCTTTATAATAGTTTTAAAGCAATTTATAGTAAACTTATAAGAGTAGTGATAATCATACAATTCTACTCAAACTAGTGCTACACTAATGCAAAGAAAAGTATGACATCTGACTTCTTTTTTTTTTAACGATGACTCATCAATGGAGCCCGTACTTTACTCTTTTATAGTGTGAGAATAATTTAAAAAATGGCAAAATGGTCAGATTGGTATATTTTTTTTAGGCTTGGTGACATGTTGGTTTATTTTCTATTAGTTTTATCAGATTGGTATATTTTTTTAACTCCGGCGCCATATAGGTCTTAAATTTGGTCAGAGTTACAGTTCCGGCCAAATTTAGTTACTGTTTCGACCAAAATTAGTTACTGTTCCGGCCAAAAATCCCATCAGCCCTGGTCGGAACAGTAACTCCGGCCAAATTTAAGGTCTATATGACGCCGGAGTTGAAAAAATATTCCAATCTGACAAAATTAAAAGAAAATATACCAACATGTTACCAAGCCTCGAAAAAATATGCCAATCTGATCATTTTACCTTTAAAAAAGTATAGTGTAATTAACATCAACCAACTTATAATGCTGGTAATGTGAGAGGAATAGATTTAATTTCATAACTATACTTATTGAGTTTGTTCCGTGTCTTTTACTATCTTCTTCATAGATGAAAAAAAAGTTACATTTTGTTACATGAATGGACTTTTCTTGAACTTAACGGATGAGGAAGGGTTTTTTTTTGGATTTTATATACAAATGGGCTATTTTGTAAATTCACCTTACCGATCTACAAAACACAACAAGTTCAAGGGCGTATTCATAAATAATGCATCGAAGGTCTCGCCCTCTCAGCTCTCTCAAGCGATGAAGAAGTCCGCCATGGTCGCCGCGCCCTTAGCAGCGATCCTCGTGCTAGTCTCATGTCTTCTTCCTTCAGCCACGGGGTAACTCGATTCCTCACTAAAGCCCTAGTTTATTTCGCTAATTTTGATCTATACTTAGCGGTTTAATCCGCCGAAAACCTAAATTTTTGGCCAGGTCCGGTGATGGTTACCCGATTACAGTCGCGTGGAAGATAGAAGGTACGAATCTCAATCTGTCGTCCGCTTGTTTTCATATTGTAGGCTTGTGAATATTAATTAGGTTTCGATGAAATTTAATCCAGTGATTTTTTTAATCACGATAGGAGCTTAGGGTTTGCTATGTGTAGGCTCGGAGGAAAGTGGTGATTTTGATTCACATGGGAAAATAGCCACCTTTTCAAGTTGAATCAAAACACACCAGATCTTGAAAAATGAAAACTGATTGAAATATTTTTATTTAAAGTAAAATGGGTATTTTACAGGTTTGTTAGTGTCTGCTAAAGGGCTAGTATAATTAACCAAGTCAATTAATAAAGTGATAGGACCGATAGAATACCTAATGAACGGATGGGAAGTAATTGCGCAAAGTTAATCTAAGCTTAGTTTGTGCTATAAAGTTCAGCCACAGAAGATATATTTACTAAAATGATTGATGGAGATATATGAAAAAATGCATTTTGTTTATATTGGTTTAGAAAAGTTATGATAAAGTTGACAGCGAGACAATATTGTTGGTTTTATGGGGGGGGGGGGGGCTTACTAGGTGGTTATAATAATGCTATTAGGACTATATGAGTTAAAACTGTCATGAGAACAATATGGAGATGTCAAATGTTTGGACACAGGATGGTAGTGAATTAACGAAGTCATTAATAAAGTGATAGGACGATAGAATTCCTAATGAACGGATGGGAGTAATTGTGCAAAGGTAATCTAAGCTTAGTTTGTTGCTATAAAGTTCAGCCACAGAAGATATATTTTACTAAAAATGATGATGGAGATATATGGAAAAAATGCATTTTGTTTATATTGGTTTAGAAAAAGTTTATGATAAAGTTGAGCAACGCGAGACAATGTTGTTGGTTTTAGGGGGGGGGGGGGGGGGGGGGGGGGGCTTATTGTAGTGGTTATAATAATGCTATTAGGAGCTATATGAGTTAAAACTGTCATGAGAACAATATGGAGATGTCGAATGTTTGGACACAGGATGGTAGTGTAATAACGAAGTCAATTAATAAGTGATAGGAGCGATAGAATTCCTAATGAACGGATGGGAAGTAATTGTGCAAAGTTAATCTAAGCTTAGTTTGTTGCTATAAAGTTCAGCCACAGAAGATATATTTACTAAAATGATTGATGGAGATATATTGGAAAAAATGCATTTTGTTTATATTGGTTTAGAAAAGTTTATGATAAAGTTGACAGCGAGACAAATGTTGTTGGTTTAGGGGGGGGGGGGGGCGGGGGGCCCTTACTTGTTAGTGGTTATAATAATGCTATTAGGACTATATGAGTTAAAACTGTCATGAGAACAATATGGAGATGTCGAATGTTTGGACACAGGATGGTAGTGTGTGTGGATGGTATCATTCATTGTCAAAATTACTGGTTTGTGTTTTCTTAATTTCCTTGCTTCTTGGTGAAAATAAAAAAAACTAAATCAATCATTGTTGTCTAAACCTATAATAGATGATAGATGGTTCTTCTATGTGCTTGGGACAAACATTTCTATTTGTTATGCTAATGATTCAACATATTTTTGAACCATTTTGATTTTAGGTCGATCTTCCTCTTTTTCCATGTATGAACTGGTTTATATTCATTTCAAGCAGTTTTGCCTCCTCTCCTATATGAGTTGTGTCTATTTCAGTGTCAGGATTGTGAGCTGTGTCTGTTTCCTTGTTGTTTTTTATATTTCTCGAGTAAATACAGCAGTTGACCTCAGTATTTTCATAAGAAAATGTGAACTTTAGGCCACACATCTTCAATGTGGCTATGTGGCTATAGATAGTATATATTTCCTATACATCACTTTGTCTGTTAAAATATGTGTGCATGTAGCCTGTCTCTTTTTCATTTACTGACCAATACCTGAGTTTTTAGTTGTAAATTATTTTTCCACTATATATTATATGCCTATAATATTCTAAATTACAATGTAATAAATTTATGAGGCTCATGCCTCATGCCTTAAGCTCACATCTCGCGTGGTAAAAGGGTTCAATGTCTCCAACTTTTTAAACATTAACGTGCACATACAAAATACGTTCCAGAAACTATATCCTTCTCACTACATGATTCACTTTCCATCCATCATAAACTGATTGCTTAAATTTCCCATTCCCTCGTTTCCTTCTGAAAACAAACACTCTCATTTTATCATCACGCCACTGACATCGCAATACGCAAGTTAAATCTCATATGAATTTTATGAATGTTGGTGTTATTCATGCAATGGGAGATCATTTCTTTATATTATCTATTACTATAGTTCAAAATTATCGCTCACTAGGATCTTTAAGTTAGAATCTGAAGTGTCAGTTTATTGTCTAATCTCTCTGCCTTTTTCCATCAGGCATGGGGTCAAAAGGTATTGGTCTTCCTGCAAAGATTTCGAACATCAAAGTCATACTTAATGGTGGTCAAAGGGTCTCATTTGTTCAGCGAGATGGTTACTTTTCATTGTATCCTACTATACTACTTGCCTAATTTTTATTTCTCTGTATTTACAATTTGAATAACATAACCTTCTTGCTATAGTTTCCCTTGCCTCTTCTGTTTCTACTGATGTAGACTTCATAACTGATGTTTTGGAATTCTTATAAAGGTTTATGTCATACTTGAAACAGTTTCCGCATGGACATTCAACATATTTTAAAATATGCGGATTAAATTTACTATTAGAGGTGGAACAAGTTCGTTGTAAGCAAATACTTCCCAGAAATGAAATGAGGATTCCTTATTGCTTACCCGATTCTAATGATAGAATTCTTAGCTCATGTCTGCTTCCTAGTTGATGAATCCTCGAACAATTTACAGTTGCAAGTTAAAAAAGATCCTGGTATTTCACAACTGCATGATTTGTGTAAGTAACTTAAAAAAAAACTCCAATGAAAAACTCCAGTCTGTTCAAATGAGTTATTGGTTGACTTTTATACTTTTGGTAGATAGAATATATCAACTATTCATTTTGAATTCTTTGACAAGTTATGCCTAAGCTATAATGTACCAGCTGGCACTCACCTGATTGAAGTAACCGCACCGGGTTATTTCTTTTCACCGGTAACTCTATTCCACCCTCCCCTTGTGTGTGTTTGTGTCTGCATATACCTCTGCAGTTTTGACCGGGTAAATAGCATTTGACCTTGCTTTCCTACCTCTAACTTATGCTCAGGTTCGTGTTGATATCAGTGCAAGAAACCCAGGTAATGTTCAGGCAGCACTAACGGAAAATAAAAGGGCTTTGCAAGAACTGGTTTTGGAACCTCTAGCAGAAGAAAAATATTATGAGGTACACTCGATTTGAGTTGCAATCCATGATTCTTTCTTCATTTCGATGATATCAGTGACTTGTTTAATCTCTTTTCATGACTTTTTTTTTGTAGACAAGAGAGCCTTTCTCTGTAATGTCTCTAGTGAAAAGTCCTATGGGCCTGATGGTGGGTTTCATGCTCATTGTGATGTTTGTCATGCCAAAGTTGGTGGAGAATATGGGTATGATTCTGATCTTTAATTTAATTTCTACCATCATATACAAGTCTGCTGCTGGTGTTAGGAAATTTACCTAATGTAGTTCTATATTCTCATCTGACTCTTATAGTCTCACTCTGGACTCAAATTGCAAAGATAATTGATCTTAAAATCTAAAGCAAGTGATAGATATCAATATACAGTTTTCTTGTTTTATCAGTTCTTGTAGTAGACACGAAAGTTCTTCCTACATTCTGGTGGGTGACTACTTCTTCTTTGTATGAATATTATATAAAGCATTTCATAACTTTTTAGATATTTGTAAGTGTTACATTCATACGAGTAAAAAAAATCCAGCAGCTATTTCTTAACAGGCCTTATCAGTCCTTTTCTCTTTGTTTTGTTGTAACGTTGCTCCTGGCACGAGAACCTCAACCTATCTTCTCTACGACTGTTCAATTTAGTCCATAGATTTTAGGTTCCAGATTTTGCTCAGATTATTGTGCTCGTTTTTTATTTGCTCCTTCTTACCTTGATCCTAATTGCACATAGAAGTTACAGCTCGATTAGCTGGTTATAGTTAGTCTTACTGTTTTCCTCTTACTATATCAGATGGTGAGGTTATTTTATTGTGTCTGACAATCTCAATCGTTTTTTTTTTTGCACTGTTTTCTGTACTCAATGCAAGCATCTAGTTTACCTAAATAGTTGCTTACTTCAACTTCAGCATCAGGAAACCTTGGATTATAAAATTAAGGGTTAAGTGTGGATAGAACTCATGTACTATCGCCCAATTGTGGATAGAGCCAATGTAGTTCTATTGTGGCAGATAGACCCCCGAATGAAATGTTTTGTGGTCGGGTACATGAATCATATTTTTTTATTCCGTTCTATTTTGGGTCATTTCCTCCATTAAGTTAACCATTATCATATCATTCTTAATTGCTTCCAACCAAGTTTTTTTTAGGTCTACCTCCAGATTTCTTCTCCCCTTTAGCTATAATATTATCATTTTTCCTAACCAGTGCACCAAGAGATCTCCATTGTACATGACCAAACCACCTCTACTCTCTCATTTTATCCTCAATAGGAACAACCTCCAATTACTATGGATGACCTTATTTCTTATCCTATCTTTGGTATGTACCCACAAGACCGTCATCATATTCTCATTTCTGCTACACTCATTTTTTGCACAATATTATTTTTTGATAAGCCCAACATTCTGATACATAAAGCATTTTTGATCTTATAACCGTCTTATAGAATTTTCCTTTTACTCTCACATCTGTTCTTACTTTTGTTGAGGGAATAATCTTATGCCGACATTATTGTATAATGATCTCGGTTATATGTTACATTCTTATGTTTCATCAAGGAAATGGACATCTTTCCATTGTGTTTCTTCAGATCCAGAAGAAATAAAGAAAGCCCAAGAAGAGATGAGGAGCCAAGGAGGGCTAGCTGGTATGTTGACCGGCGCTGCTACTGGAGCTACAAGGAGTAATTGATAGCGGAAAAATTATGCAACAACAAGCTACAGGTTGATCTCACTAGCTGTGGGAAGTACTAGTTTTCCGAAACCTGGAAAGCAATTATATCTTCAAACTCAGTTGCTTCATGGTTTGGATTCTCATTAATTAAAGATCGAAGAAACCCGCGTGAATCAAATTTTTGTATTATATTTTCACAAGTCAGTTTTATGTCTGTTAAATGCCTTTCCCCATCGCTGTGTAGTTGTATATTTATTCGGAATTTTTGACACCGAGTGTTTTGTTTGATCAAAATTGCTGCTCCTCGATGCTTTATAATGTTTCCGTGTAGATCGGTTATCGAAAAATAACATCTATTCTTCATGTCTGCCTAGTAATAGTGAAAGGCAAAGTAAAATAAAATTTGTGGAAGCCAGAAACTATCTGATTATGTTTAAGGTGTATATTTTCATAGTAAGGTTATGAGGCATCTATGAAGTTCTCATCCACCGCTTGACCGAGCCCCCTCTTTCAATTTGTACAGCGCTCACGTGGATTGGAATCCCCAGCTTCCGCTATGCGCGTTCAAGCATCAACACTCTCGAATAACATCAATAGCCTTAAATAAAGAAGGGTGGGGTTACAATACACCTAGGGTGTCACAACTTAGTTACACCCACCTATAAAATAATTACACTCACCTATAAAAGCACGTGTTTGAGCGCCGACGTTAACAACCAACATTGTTCATCATGATCTATGCGTCCAAAACTCCATGGAGATAAAAAAAATATCACATAAATAAGATATTTCTAGTTTACACATCCGTGGCTTAGAAATGAACGGTCTGTAATGGTCTAAAATACCTGCTATTTTGAATTGCTTAAATTATAGGACAGAAATTTTCAAGACACATGGTACTTGATCTATACGCATTTGCTAACATGTAGATCATAATGAATGGTGTTGATCGTTAATACCGACGCTCAAACATGTGCTTTTATAGATGAATGTAACTAAGTTAATTGCATCTTAGGTGTATTGTAACCTTAATAAAGAATACTACGTATGCAGACTTTTATGTACTAGTTAAGCCCGTGATCACTGACTCGTCCTCCTAATGGCTCTTACCCATCAAACTTTTTTGTAGGCAACGTGATGGGAAAAAAGAAGGTTCTTTTTTTGTTTTTTTTGGTGTTCGTGCAAGTATAAATGTTGTTTCGAGCTGTTTGGAACTTTGGCTATCCAAAATTGCCAAGAGATCATATGGAGTTCTATCAGTTGCGAATAGACCCTTATAATTCTACTTGCGAAATAGACACATTTTCGACTCCTTTAAATGTTAAAAAATTTTTAACAAATGGATGTCTATCTTCACCAATAGAACTATCAAGGATATAGCGGCAGCCAAAAATAATTTTAACATTTTTTTAAGAGTAAAAAGATTTCTCTCCAGGAGTCTATTCGCAACGAATAGAGCTACAGGTGCATTATTACAAGGTGTCTCTTTGTAATTGGGTGATACTATATGGGATCTTGTTCGCAATTAACCCAATGAAAAACTAATATATATAAAAATTCATAATTCTCCTGCTCTCTTAATAAATAGGCAAGCCATCAGTCTTCGGTGGGGTTTCGCTAAACTATCAAAGTTACAGAAAGGTTTTATGAAATTTAGGAAGGTCATGGACGTTTTATGCAAAGACTCCAAAAGTTGGGGGCTTTATGAAATTCCTTCACCCAACTCGCATCAACCGTCCATTACTAAACCCTATCCGCTTAATCCATATCGCACATCTTAACCCAAAATATTCCGCCAGCACAACTAGTGAATATATTTCACGTACCGAGAAAGAACAAACCCTCGCACGCTCGGATCCAGCTTCGTTTGGATCTCGATCTTCCTCTCCTTAGGGTTTGCAACGGGAGCGGCGATTTGATAGATCTACATCATAAACTTGAGATCTAAAACCATATAGCCATGATTAATTCAAAGAGATTAACAAGGATCTAAAAGAGCGGAAGCTTATACCTGAATCCATTGCTTGATCTTGATTTTGGGTGTTGGATCTTCTAACCTTAGGGTTCTCTCTAAAACCGAATTTCTCTTTTAGATGGGGGTGTAGAGAATTAGAGAATGTAACCCTAGGTTAGGGACCATAACCCCTTATTTATAGATGTTGTACTTTTGTAATTTAGCCCCTCAATAAATTACAATTACAACCTGGTATCTGCACATATAACCCCATGACTTATTTAAATACCAAATTAACTCAACTTAATTGATCACTTTAGTGGGTTATCCTGAAAGATAGCAATACACATTGATTAATCATATGTGCCCACAAATAGATTTATTAGATTAAATCCAACAATCTCCCACTTGGGCACCATATGATTCCTTAAACTGTGTATAACCTTATGAGCTCAAAAATTGCTATCACTGAAATGGTATTTCCGAACAATCTCGTCCATTGACTATATCAATATAGGATCAAAGCGGCCTTCGTCACATTTATCGTGACTCGACCCATCAATGGTCACATATACCAATACAATCAAATGACATAGATCAATCATGGATGTGCAGCATGAAAATTACATGCAATGTGATCAGTACATGTCTATTTTCAACTGGTCCTCCTTAGTGAGGTCAAAACCAAACATAATGTAACAGAGTGTCTTAACTGAATACTTTATTCTGATCAGACAATACAACCAAACATAAAGCACCACAAATACAAACTCCCACTAAAACATAATATCCTCAAATAATACCACACCCATATGAGCAGTATGCTCATGAAAGACCTTAGGTGGCAATCCCTTAGTAAGAGGATCAGCTATCATGGAGTTTGTCCCAATGTGCTCTATGGATATCTGTCCACTCTGTACCCTTTCTTTCACAACCAGGAACTTAATGTCAATATGTTTTGACTTAGTTGAGCTCCTGTTGTTATTGGAATACATTACTGCAGATTTATTGTCACAATATAGCCTTAGTGGTCTTTCAACATTTTCCAAAATGCGCAGTCCCGTGACAAAATTTCGCAGCCATATTCCCTGATTGGATGCCTCATAGCAAGCTACAAATTCTGCTGCCATAGTGGAGGAAGCTACTAGTGTTTGTTTGACACTTTTCCATGATATAGCTCCTCCTGCTAACATATAAATGTAGCCTGATGTAGACTTCCTGCTATCTTGGCATCCAGCAAAATCAGAGTCCGAATACCCAATGACCTCTAATTTCTCTGATTTTCTGTATGTGAGCATGTAATCTTTTGTTTTCTGAAGATACCTCATAACCCTTTTGACTGCTATCCAATGATCCATACCAGGGTTGCTTAAGTATCTGCCTAACATCCCAACAATGTACGCAATATCCGGACGCGTACATACCTGAGCATACATTAGACTTCCTACAGCCGAAGCATAAGGAATCTTCTGCATTTCCTGAATTTCAAGGTTACCTTTAGGGCACTGATTGAGACTAAACTTGTCTCCTTTAGCAACAGGGGTGTCACCTGGTCTGCAATCTTGCATGCCAAACCTTTTAAGTACCTTATCGATATAGCTCTTTTGTGATAATCCAAGAATACCCCGAGAGCGATCTCGATGTATCTGGATCCCTAATATAAAAGAGGCGTCCCCAAGATCTTTCATCTCAAAATTCTTTGATAGAAATCTCTTGGTTTCGTGCAACATGCCTATATCATTAGTGGCAAGCAAGATGTCATCCACATACAGAACCAGAAAAATATACTTACTCCCACTGAACTTGTGATATACACAGTCATCAACAATGTTCATCTCAAAACCGAACGAGATAACTATTTGTTGAAACTTATGATACCATTGACGAGGAGCTTGCTTGAGTCCATAGATGGATTTCCTTAATTTGCAGACCATATTCTTTGGGTCTCCCGACACAAAGTTTTCTGGTTGCACCATATAGATCATCTCATCAATGTCTCCATTGAGAAATGCAGTCTTAACATCCATCTGATGTAACTCAAGATCATAATGAGCAACAAGTGCCATGATTATTCTGAAAGAGTCTTTCGATGAAACCGGAGAGAAAGTCTCTGTATAATCAATGCCTTCCTTTTGAGTATAGCCTTTAGCCACAAGACGTGCCTTATACCTCTCCACATTACCGTTTGCATCCCGCTTGGTTTTAAAAATCCATTTACAACCAATTGGTTTTGCACCTTCTGGTAATGGGACAAGTTCCCAAACCTTATTGTCTTGCATAGACTTGTACTCTTCATTCATGGCATCAATCCACTGTTGAGAGTTAGAACTTTTCATGGCCTGAGAGAAGTTGATTGGATCATCTTCTAACATTCCACTACTTTCCTCATGTTCTTGGAGAAATACAATATAATCATCCGGAATAGCATTTCTCCTTTCTCTCGTGGATCTCCTTAATGGCACTGGTTCTTGAGGTTGTTGAGTTTGTTCTTCTGGAACAGGGAGTTGTTCAACATTATCATCTTGAGGTTCCGGATTTACTTCTTGAGCAACAACAGGTATAGGAACCTGAATATTGTCAAAAGTAACTGTATGGATTGGATCTGAAGCCAATTCCTCCTCAAAACTAATGTCTCTAACCTTATTTCTCCCCCCAAACTCAACATCCTCAAAGAATGTTGCTGTTCCCGTCTCAAAAATGTTCCTTATAGTGGGATCATAAAACTTAAAGCCCCTAGAGCGTTCAGAGTATCCAATAAAGTAGCTGCTAACTGTTTTGGAGTCCAATTTCTTTTCATTTGGCCTATAAGGCCTTGCCTCAGCTGGACATCCCCAAATATGTAAATGCTTTAAACTGGGCTTTCGACCAGTCCAAAGCTCATAAGGTGTTTTAGCAACTGCTTTACTTGGTACTCTATTCAGAATGTAAGCTGCTGTCTTAAGTGCTTCTCCCCAGAGTGACTCTGGTAAAGAAGAATGAGCAATCATACTTCTTACCATATCCTTAAGAGTCCTGTTTCGTCTTTCAGCTACACCATTCATGCTAGGTGAACCCGGCATGGTGTACTGTGGGACGATACCGTATTCCTCTAGGTATCTAGCAAATGGTCCTGGACGTTGTTCACCTGAACCATCATATCTACCGTAGTACTCACCACCACGATCAGATCTGACGGTTTTAATTCTTCTGTTGAGTTGATTCTCAACTTCAGCTTTATAGGCTTTGAACATGTCCAGAGACTCAGATTTTTCATGAATAAGATATAGGTGCCCATAACGTGAGTAATCGTCTATGAATGATATAAAATATTGTTGACCATTCCAGGATTCCGTAGGGAATGGCCCACAAATATCCGTATGTATCA